AAGACCCTCTATGAGGTGGATTGATTCAGTGACTGGGGTAATCGGAATGAATGTGTCAGAGGCAATGCGATTGGCACAGGATAGAGCAGGGCTTAGGGCTGTTGTACATAGGATCGCTATGAGTCGCAAACGATTCGACGGCACATAACAACAACAACAACAACAACAACATCGTCCTTTGATGTTTATGGATCATTCAATACTCTGTCCATAGCACCCTTAAGTATTGCCTCTAGAGGCTTGAATTTGTTCTTCAGCGCCTTCAGCTTAAAAAATGCCAAGCGATTTTGGATCTTTTGATTTTCTGACTCCAGCTCCTTGCACATTTTATTATAATACTTTGCTTTGTCTTCCTGAGCTGCCCTTTGACATCTTCTGTGCAGCTCTTTAGCTTTCTGATTTCTTCTCTTTATAGTCCCATGCAAATACTTGGGACATATTTATACAACAGAAAAGTATGTTGTTTATCTAGAATTAAAATGTAACTGAGCATCCTGTATTTTATCTAGCAATTCTACTCCTTAACGACTTGTCAATATCTGGTGAAATTGTGGTGGCACAGTGGTTAAAGTTTCAGGATGCTTACCAAAAGGCTGGTTGAATGTGTCAGCTGCTTTGCAGAGAAAGATGTAACAATCTGTTTCCACAAAGATTTATAGCGATGAAATAATCTGTGAAACAGTTTTAGTCTGCCCTATAGGGTCACTTTGAGAGAGCTCTGGTGACCTATGGGTAAGCAGTTGTACTGTCATCTGAATATATGCTGTTCAAATCCACATACTGCTCTGCGAGAGAAAGATGGGCAATCTCCTCCTGAGTGATTTACAGCCTTTGAATATCCACTGGAGGATCAGATATGAATTGGTTCTGACTCCATAATACTTAACAATAACATTGCTGTGTACTATAGGATCAGAACCGACCAATAGCTGACTTTCTGGGGGGTTTTCAGAGCCAGTTAATCTCATGGGAGGAGACTTCTCCTTCTTCTCCTGCGGAGCAGGTGGTGACCTCCAAAGGCTTGCCTTAAGGATTGCAGCTCAGCTTCTTGCCAGTAGGCCAACAGAGCTACTATAGGGTAAGATGGTATCGATATGGTGACAGTAATTTGGGATAATATTTCTATTTTCACATCAGGGGTAGTGTTATACTGGTATCTAAGTGAGTAGAGACCAAGAAAGCTACTAAGCATTTTACAATGTATGGGATAGTACCTCCACAGGCAAAGTATCCAAAATGTCAGTAGTACTGAGTCTGAGAAATATAAAACCAGGTAAAGGGCTATAAACTTCAAGAGTTATTTACCATCATGCTTGGGATTTCTAACACCTTCTTTTTGGAAAGGCAGCATGTGATTAGTGAGATGAGTGTGCCCAGGGCTGGAGACCTGGTTTAAAAATCCTTTGTACATAATCCCTTTTTTTGCGCTGATAACAGAATGAATTGGAGCTGGACTTTTGCAGTAGGCATTCCAAAGGTACGCTATTCGAATCCACCAGATGCTCGGCATGAGAAAGCTGGTTAATCAACTCCCGTGCGATTTACAGCCTCTGAACACCCGTTAGAGGGTCAGTTATGAATCTTTTCCTCTTGAAGATACACAACAATAAATACTTTTCCAAGCATGATATATTTCTCCAAGGACTGACCCCTCCTAACAACACACTTAAAATGTATGAGAAGTGTCATCACTAAGAGGAGGTAAGGGTGTACCCTGGCGGCGCGTTGTCCAAGATAGATTTGTTCTTTTGGCAGTCTATGGCCAATCAAGTATAAGTCTCCAGCTGTTGGCCGGACAATTTTGAGGAGAGTACCGGAAGCAGCCTACTGAAGCGTCCATCTCCGCCCCCCCAGCAACGGTAGTGAAGGAAGTGGTTCCGCAGCTCCGCCCACCGCGCCTGCGCAGAGGAGCCGGGTGCTGACGTGGAGCTGGGCTCGGGCGTCCGTCCCCTGCGCACCGCAGAGTGTGGGAGAGCCTCTGGCGCGGCGGATCTGCAGCCGCATCCGGGATGTTGGTGCCGCCCGTTCCACGCCGGGAAGCCGGGGCTGCCGGCCGGCGCTGGTTGGCTCTGCTGCCTCTGCTGCTGCTGCTGCTGGCCAGGCCTGCGGGAGCCCTGTTGGAGGGTCTGTATTGCGGCAAGCGGGACTGCTACGAGGTGCTGGGCGTGAGCCGCACTGCCAGCAAGGCGGAGATCGCGCGGGCCTACCGCCAGCTGGCCCGGCGCTATCACCCCGACCGCTACCGGCCGGAGCCCGGCGACGAGGGCCTTGGCCGGACCCTGCAAAGCGCTGAGGAGGCTTTCTTGCTAGTGGCCACCGCCTACGAGACTCTCAAGGTAAGGGCTGCGGGAGCAGATGGGCTGGGAGGACCAGCCGCGAGAGGCGCGTGGCTCCACACCTTCTGCCTCTGATCTGCAGAACGAAGTCCTCAGTGACCCCAGCAATGGGCTTCGCCCCATCACAACTTCAGGATGCACATGTTTTCTGACATTGACCATTGACAAGGGTGGGAACCCATTTCAAGGCTTAGAGAGGACAGAATGTTCCCTTCTAGGAGTACGCGTGGGTAGACGATTCTGCCCTACCACCCTTTGGAAATGGCGGGGCGGAGTGCCTGACCTCCTTTATCTTCAAGATAAACTGAACAGCCCAAGACTGATTTCTGAAAGGTGAAGGTCAGACATACCTCCCTTCTCCAGCCTTATTCATAGTTCTGATATCAGCCTTCCCTCTCTGCATTCTTTTCTTGGGCTTGATAATTCATAAATTATACTCAAAATTATGGGGTTTATTAGAGAAGTAACAGGTTACAGTTCAGAATCAGGAAAGAGACTCAAAATACAGTACGTCAATTAGGACGTTCGTTGGTGGTTCCTCAGACCCTTCTGTGGGGTAGCCTCTGCCCAGCTCCGGTAAGTGTTAAAAACCTTTAACGTCACTGACAAGTGCCCAGAGGGTACACACACACACCCCAAAGTAAGTTTTGGCGCATAGTATTCAGATCCCCAGTTCTGTTGTTTAGGGGGTCTCTTAGAGCACTAGGAAGTCTGGCTTTTTCTCCCCTCTGCGGTAACATATCTCTTATTTCCCTCCTAGTCATTAAAGAAACAACAAAGTAACCATCTTAGAATCAAATGCTTCACTTCCCATGCCTCCAAATTTTTATTCTCTACACCTCATTCTTAGAAAGTCCTATGCTTCTCTGAGTCTGAAACCATTGCAGTGAATCCCATTCCAGACACCAGCTGTGAAAATAGCTTGCCAAAGGCCTCTGACCTCCTCTATTTGCATAAAGGGGAGAATGACAAGATCAACAGTGCAAGATTGATTCCTGTAAGGGCAGATACACCTCTTCTGCAGCCTTCCTTCACCGCACTCAACTGCTGTGAGTGTAAGAAGTTATTGTAATGGCTACACAGAACTCAGACCATACTCATGTTATTGAGTTTATTAGGGAAATAACAGTGACAGTTCAGAATCAGGGAACACTTGGGATACAGTTCTTCAAACAGGACATCTTAGCTGTGCCTGCAGGCAGACTTTACCAGACCCTCAGCCACTTGAGCTGGCCTAGCCTTTTCCCAGCTTGGTCAAGTAAATAGCTCTTTATAATCCAGAGCTATCCTACTTCTCTAATAAGCCTCAGACTAAAAGTCAGCTTTCTAGCCCCATGGGTTTTTAAACTTAGCTTCATTAAGTATCCAGAGGCCCTATATCAGCAAGTCTCTTGGTGAAAGGTCTCAGCTTTTCCATCAGTGGGTCAGGAAGCCTTGTTCTGTCAAGTGCCTGAAGGTGTTCACCCCTCTTGCTCTTTGGGCCAGGAAGCCTACTACCTATCAGTCTTGTTTTGCTGTCACAGCTTCTCACTATCACATGTTACAGCTCTTTTTCTCCCAGGTCTAGGACATTCCCAGCACAGAGACCTGGAATCCAAAGGGAACATTCTGTTTCTGTGTCATTTTCTTGGTGGTCAACAGGTCCTTCCTTTCTGCCTCTGTGATGGCTTGTTTACAACTTAGTGGGATGGTAAATTGATTTATCCTCTCGTTAGAGTGTCATATACCTTATTTGCATGGTCCCACTCCCCATATAAAGGAGCTGTGGTGGCTTCGTGATAAGGCATTCATTGCACTGCCAACCCAAAAGTATGTGGTTTGAATCTGTCAGCTCCTCTTGGGTGAGAGATAAATAATCTCCTCTCATGTAATTTACTACCTCTGAAATCTTCCCAGAGGGTCAGCTGTGAGTCAGTTTTAACTGGACATTGCACAATAATCCCCCACATAAATGGTGACTATACACGTGGACCTGCCTGCATGAAATTACACAGGAATCAAATAGACTACAACTGTGGAGTGAGATGAAAGAGAAGTTCAATATCACTGATCAGAATAAGGCCAGGCTCCTACCGTGGGAAACCTTTTTGTTAGCAGCCCAACACTTAGGTTGTTTTGCCACCAGTGCTTGTCGGTGGAAGCTGAAAAAAAATTAAAACAAGTCCACGTGAGCCAAGTATAGCATTCAGTTTCCTGCCTGAAGAGACCACCTCAAAATAGATTTGGGAAAAAAAAAGAATAGATTTGACATTAATGACTGACAACCAGATGAATTGTGAGATGACATGAAAGCAAAGGCCATTTAAAAGGAAAAAAGAGAAAAGAGGAAGAAGGATGTCAGAAGAAACTTGCTTTTGAAATAGGACAGCTAAAGCAAATGGGGGAAAGGTGATCCTTGGGAGTAGAACAGAAACAGAAGACGTCAAAGGGCAGTTAGAGAAGACAGAGTGTTACCATGAAATAGCAGGGACCTATGGTTGGAAAACCAAAAAGGAATAACTTTTTTGGCATTTCTCTATTTTTTTTTTTTTACTTGGAGGAAAAAACAAAAACAACCTGCAGGAAAAAATTCAAGCTTTGAGTTGGAATAGTGAAGGAGCCCATGGACAAGATACTTGAAAAGCAGAAGGGATCATGGAAAGAGTACAAGAGTTACTGTACCAGTAGGAATTAGATGATGTTTAAACTTCTCATGAAGTAGCACATGATCAGGAAGTGATGATACTCAGATCAAAGGTGTCACATTTGTCCAAAAACAAAGCTTTGAATGCAGAAAGTAGTAGATAAGAATAAGAATGGTATGGGAAATCATTCCAGGGAGAAAATGGGAAGAGTGCTGATCACATTGAGGGACTTTAAACCGTGTTATGAAACAAAATGTGTAAGTTATTGAGTGGAAAATAAATTTGCTCTGAAAGCTTCCACACAGATCACAGATTTTGGGGTTTGTTTGTTTTTAAGAAAGCCCACTGGTACGGAAGGAAATGAAAGCCACAGTCAAGGGCCCTGTGAAGAATGGAAGGGAAATGTGGAATCTAATTCAAAGGCTTGCTGGTCTAGAGAGTCTGGTGGAACTTATGAGGTGATAGCACTCAGTTACCCTTTGTGCCCGGAACTTTGAGCCTTGTGGCTCAATTTTCAGTTGAACACTAGGTGAACACAAACATCATGGAGGTGCTCTTCAAACATTCAGTCATAGAAGATCATAACAGCATTATTTGCCTGGGGGAAATCTCGGGAGGGAATTAAGGGATGGGATGGAAAGATGAAGGGAAATAGTTAATGCCGTACAATAAAATCTATATGAATAGAAAAACAAGTAGACAAAACTTTGTAGACTTTAATAATAAATATTACCCACAAATAAAATTTTGCTGAAGATAATTCTAAAAAGGAATATTATTGCTTTTATCAGATGGATTGTTACTGAAAGCAGAAAATAGTAGAAACATATTTATCTGTATTTTATTGACTATGCCAAGGCCCTTGACTGTGTGAATCATAACAAATGTGGCTAACATCAGAAAAAAAATGGGAATTAACAAAACATTTGTGTTCCTGTGGAACCTGGACATAAACCTGGAGCAGTCATTCAAATGACAAAGGGATCAATCAAGAAAGGTAGGTCAGAATTATATCTTTCCACCATACTTATACAAAGTGTGAGCTGAGTAAATAATCTGAGAGGCTCAACTAAAGGAAGATTTCAGCATCAGGAATGTAAAGAGATTAGGAAAGCACTTAATGTTGAAGATACAAGACTGCAGCCTTCGATATGAATTGCACCTCAGCTTAAAATAGGAGTCTTCAACTGGACCAGTAAGCAACATGACAAGCGGAAAATACATTGCAATTGTCAAAGTTTTATTTTACTTGAATCTCCCATCAATGCCTAGGGGAGCAGCAGTCAGGAAATAAATGACGTGATGCATCAGGCAGTTGGAAGCAGGAGTAGCATCCACTTCCTAAATAACTTGCCTCTGGAAACCCTATGAACTTTGATAAATGTTGATAGTTGTAGAGGGGCTTCAAGCCTTTTTGTTCATAGGGTTGCTATGAGTCATGCTTGACTTGAAGGCAATCAACACAATAATAACAACAGGCACTGCTGCTGCAAAAGATGTCTTTAAATTACTAAAAAGCAAAGGTGTCACTTTGAGCACTCAAGTGAAGTCATGGTATTTTCAGTTAAGGAAGACTAAAGAATTGATGCCTTTGAATTGTAATGTTGGTGAAGAATGTTGAATATACCATGGGCTGCTAGAAGAATGAACAAATCTATAGAAATAAGCACAGCCAAAAAGGCTCCTTAGAAATAAGGATGGTGGTGAGACTTCATCTTACATACTTCGAACATGTTTTCGGAAGGGACCATTTCTTGAGGAAGGACATCCTGTTGAATGAAGTAGATAGTAAAAAAGAGGTGCGCCTTCAGTGAGATGATTGACAGAGTGGCTGCAACACTGGGCTCAAACAGAATTGTGAGGAATGGCACAGGAGCAGCCAACGTTTTGTTCTGTTGTACATAGGATTGCTGTGGGTCAGACTGACTTGAGGCCACCTAGCGACACAACCAAAGGGGTCCATGCACTTTATTTGTCTAATTAGTAAACTGTTCAGTCCTCTTGGTGGTCTGCCTGCATACCTGTACCCATTCATTTGGTGAGAGAGAAGACTGACTTAGAAAGGCCAAACAAAAGTGATTCTTTGCTCTGCAGACTCCATGAAAAAGGTGTTTCCTCTTCCTTTTTCTGACATTGTTATGTGAAGCATTTTGAATCCTTTGATTTATTGAAAGCATATTAATCAAGTACAGTTCACACTTGGAAAGCAACTTGATTGTTTTTACTGGAATCTGTAATAAAACATGAAAGAGACAGTCATCACGTTAATTGGTGTGGCATAAATTTGTTTTCTGGAAATCTTATTAATTTTGACATTTATCTTGGAACAAGAGAAACACTCAGAACAATAAACAAGTCAGAAGAGAGGATGTTTGA